TCTCTCTCTCTCTCTCTCTCTCTCTCTCTCTCTCTCTCTCTCCTCTCTCTCTCTTTCTGCGCGCCGCAATCCTTGACCTTAAAAAGGGTAAGTAACCTTAAAAAAGAACCGCATTTCCTTCATTCCTTCTCGTTCAAAGGGATTTCGTAGATCCTCTATACAATTCTACAAAATCATTCTTTAATTTTCTTTGGAAATAAAGACATCTTCCATAAAATTAATAATGTTGTGCACTATTTTGTAAAAATTTGCCCGATATTTTCAGTTTCTCCTCTATAGAATTTACAACTAAATCATCTCTCGCAACAGCAATATTAAAAAGAGGATCGATTCATAACAAATTTTGCTGTTTAAGTTGAAAAATTGTTTATTACATTTTTATCTTTACAATTAAGTGTAATAGAGAAAATTTCTGTCAAGTCGACATATTTTATAAACTAACGGACTGTGTTTGTCACAGAGATAAGTTTGCAGAATTACTAAAGATCTTGCTCCAGGCAGAATTTAAATAATGTTGAAATAATATTGAACGAAATTTAAAAATTATTAAAATAATTAAAAACAAATTAATACCACGATCAACCAACAATATATACAACGATAGTATCGTAAATTAAAAATAAACAGAAATATTGTATTATTAACGAGAAGACAAACTTTTTGTCACATCTCAATAATCAATGATATATTACCGATGATATATGGGCGTTTGACCAAACTTCTGTCCCAACTCCTGACGGTATTACTTCGTCCGCATCGCAAATAAATTGGCGATACATTTGAAGTTTCCTCTTGCGAATCCCCCCCCCCTTAACATGATAGGTTTACCTTTCGAGTAAACTTTATTATCCTTGACACTTTTGGTGATGACTCACCTTGTATTCATTCACGCGATTTAATTAAAGCCGAGCGAACTTCATTCACAGAACTTATTCGAAACGAACACATGCTCGGAAAAAAAGTGGAACACGCGAATGTGCGATTGTAAGGCAACGCAGATGTCGTCCCGCTTGAAACGGTCGGCATTAATTGAACCGTTGAATGGAAGATCATTATTGTTAAGTTGCATCTCTCGTATGGAGAAAAGGTAGAGAACACGCAAAAACGCGCGGTGAAAAATTTAACCGCCACCATTAAAACATTGTTTGTCTACATTTACAAAGTAACAAACTCCAAATTTCTGATCACCAGGTTTATTTTCGTTTCATATATGCATTCTCTCTTTTAAAAAGAGAACGTATTACGTGTCTCGCGAATTACTTTACCATAGTTCGGATACAGTAAAATACGGAATTTCACAGTGCCGCAGAGTGTTCCCCTAACATGCCCTATCTCATTTTACTTCATTTCGATTTATCGCTCGCGTGTCTCAGCGATAGATCGGCAATCTCTCTCTTTCTCTCTCTCTCTTGCGCGCGCACGCGCGCGCACAAAATCCGCCACGTAGGCTCGCTTAAGCAATAAGTGCTGAAGGAGAGGTCATAACCGCTAAAAGATCGCATTGCAGCAGCTTATTCCGCTGGCTATTGCACTATGCATCGTAATGCGGAGTCGTAAACAGTATCGCTAGTTTGCGAGTAAATGGCCAATCACTCCCCTGTGAAATTCTTTCGAGTCGGTGCGGCGCGCCGTAGCAAAAGCAACGGGGCGAGGCGATGAGGTGAGGAGGCGGGTGAAAGAACGAGTGGTATAATGATAATAATGCACATGCAACAGAGGAAGATAAACCGTCACGAGCTCCCGAGGGTGCCGTGCGCCGATTTTGTATCCACCCTCCCTCTTCCCCTTCATCGCAATCGCGTAAATCTTCGAGAATGCGCCGTGCTTTATGAGGCCTTGCTGCCCGTGATTAAGCTTAAACACTCGAGACCTGTACAACATTCGATTACGCGCGGAACATCGTAGGATGCACGGGGGATGAAGACGGCGAAAGAGAAACGCGACATCGTCAGCGAATTGGGCAATAAGTCGTCATATTTCTCGTTATTTCGAAAAAAAAAAAAAAAAAAAACAAAACGAATACTTGATGTTACGGTCGGTTCCGCGATTCCGTCAAGAGATTTACGCGTTTTTACGCAGGCAAAATAATTACGCGAAAAAGTAATCATCCCCCGTTACCCCGTCCTCATTCGTGTAACAGTTCGGACAAGACTACGCCAAGAGGCAGAATTTACCGCGACGTAAAATATATTATTGCGGCGATAGATGTCGCCATTAATATATGTAACGATAATTGAAGCATTTTCAGCCGAAATCGTGTTGTATAAGTGTTACGGTAAATTTGTCGGTACTATCAAATTGTAGTCAACACTATCTATAAACAAGCACGATCCATACCTATCCCATACAGCATCCAATTTATTTCTCCACAATAAGAGAAACTCGCCGGGAAAGGAAGATTTTTTGTATTCAGATCTCGAGGATACCGCGTGATGATATACGTACAATGAAACAACCACCTTATTTGAGAAACATCGACCGGCACGAATTTTCTGTCATGCTCAATCGCCATTCTCTACGTGACCGTAAAAGAACGTTATTACAGTTTCACGACACGTTACATGCAATTCATATTTCCAGAGAGTAAGTCGGAAACAAATAACTCTGAGCACACGATTTCCGGCTGACAGAGAAGAAGATTTGCGAAAAGAAATAGAAAAAAAGAAAGAAAAAGAAATTGAACTGCCGTGGAATTGTAACGACGCGGAAAGAGATGATTTTCGTAAAAATACCGTGCTCGTGCCGTATTTTCGAGACAGCGCGAAAATAAAAACGCAAAATCGGAAATTGCGTTTCTTTTTCTCCTCTTCTTGGCGTTCAGCTTATTTAGCATCGGGCATTCTATTTCTATCTGGCGTATTCTGATAATTCAATATATCTCGCTTTTACTCTTCCGCTAAACTTGCTCTCGATTCTGATGCCTGTGACTCGTTTTATAGAATAGCATTCATCTTAAGCCGTTGTCATACTATGTATTATGGACGCGGATCGGAATTCAGCCAATCAAGGCGAGGCAGCTTCGCCTTGATTGACTGAATTCCAATCCGCGTCCGTAATACATAGTGTAACAACAGCTTTAGGCCGGTAGTCGTAGTCGATTCTAAGGCCGGTATTCAGTTCTTATATTTAAAATCGTCTTAAGTAAGCTCATACAGCTCATACATCTATTGATTAAAATGTTATCTTAAGACGATCTTAAATATAAGAACTGACTGTGAATATCAGCCTAAGATCATCTTAAGTAATGTCTTAAGATATTACACGACTTTGTGATTGGTTGATAACCTCTTAAACTTAAGACAATACTTAAAACAGTCTTAAATATAATTCGACTATGAATATCGATCTTAGTATCGTTTGTTCGATTAGATGAAGCGTTATATAGTGACTAAAAATACACGTATGTGTGTAAAGTATCACATATCTGCGTCCTCCATTTTATTACATACCTTCTAAAAACCATCTCTCGCGCGAAGGGCCGCTGGGTCCCTGCTCGATCGGTGATTGGCGATCTCTCTCATTCTGCCGGGCGTCGCCGATCCTCACCCTGTTCCGTCCTTCTGAAAGATCACGGAGCGATCGTAACGTTTATACGAGTCACAGACCACGTGACTACAATTAATAAGTTATCGAGAGGCGCGATTACCCGGTGATGCGGGGAGAATGGAGGAGAGGAGTAAGGGAACTTATAGCAATTTTTCCCGATAAGAAAACGCGTTTAACGGCGCCGCATCATTAATGGCGTATCGAGGGCGCAAGGAAAGCAGACCGATCGTTTCTGCGCACACGTGAGATTAACTATCACGCCACAGGTTACTTAATATCCTTATACACGCCACTTAACACTTAACAATGCTCGGCAATTTTTCTCGCAAATGACACTTTAGCTCGTCCCTCCCCCCTCCCTCTTCTCTCTCTCTCTCCCTCCCCCATGAAAAAAATCCCCTCTGCTTCTTTCGCGCTGTCTTCCTTATTACATAAGTGAAGATGAGCGGATATCTGATATTGAACAAACTGTTAATCCATGGTTAATGACTAGTTGAAGCATCTAAGATTGCACCAATGTTATTTTGGCTTTAAACGAGGCTTATGCATCTGTTTTTATTTATTTAGAAAGAAAAAATAAACAGATACGTGTCTAACTTAAAGCCAAAATAATATTGGTGCAATCAGGCCTAACTCACTCGATTGTTTGTAGTATCAATAGACGATCCCTCGATTTATTCGGCGCGCGGTGTTTAACGCAAAAATCGTATATATACACGCGACGCGCACCGACAAAGCAGGAGTTATTCAACGTGAAAGAATAATGAGGATCAACGGGAGAACGCGTGTGCCAGCGTTTGTTTGCTTGCAAATACGTTTAATCGCTGTTAGCGCTTCTGTTAAACGGAGGCATCTGCGGGAGAAACTTTCGGTACACAAGAATCACAGCCGAAGAAACTATTTGATTTCTAACTCGCCTAACTCGCTCCGCATTCCACTTGCGAGGAGAGCCTAATTGAATTCTTTCATCGGCCGTTCATCGACGGAATTTAGGCAAATTTATTTTACATTACTACGTCGGAACTCATATTCCTCGCAAAGGTACATTTTCAAACAGAGTAAATTTAAAAATTTATTTCTGTATTTATTTATACGCGTTTGATCGTTCAAAATATCATGTACGAATAAAAATAAAAAAATACACCGATTCACAATACGCTTCTTTTCCTTTTTAAAGCATAAAACAAAACAGCACAGGACGGAAAATATTCGGCTTGACTATTACATCAGGAGGAGTACAAATTACAAGCGAGTCCTTTGACGTCACTCGAGATCTCGTTTCCCGGGCTTATGATAATTTCTCTTGGAAAACGAGAAGGTTCGGTTTTCAAAGTAGAACAGACGAATCAGAGTAGAGTCAGAAAAGATTCAACGGAATCTCGTGGATACCGTTCATGGGCACGACGTCGTTCTCATATCGAACCACGACGTCTCGTCACCATCGCGTCGCCATCGGCATAACCATTTACATAACTGACATTCAACTGGTTCTTGAACTTCGCTCTTCGATTCCTTTCTCGTCGTGGCGATCCTCCTACGCTATATCGATCCACGACCATCACGCTGGAAGGAGGGGACTTGAGCGGCGCGTGCAAGACGGAGAGGCCGGAAGAAGCGACGAAGAGGGATATTTTTTTATTGTACACACCGAGGGTATTTGTTTTCCTTTCTTTCTCTTCGCTATACACACATCTGCAATCATCTGAGACGCGAAGCACGCTTCGAATCGTAATTCAGGAATACTGACAAGGAAGACGTCTCGTTTTTCGCAATGTCGCAAGAAACATCATTGCGAGTGTCAGTTATCGAGGATTCTCGCGATGTTTATGACATCGAAGAACGTCCGATGCGTCAAGAGAACATATTTTTCACCAAGATGTCTCGTTAAGCGAAAAGTGTGACACGCGTGAGGCTGTTAACGAAACGGAAAATATTCTTGACGTTTCGGAAATCGCCGTATCATTTCACCCCCCGTTCTACCTGCTGACGTCTATTAACGTCCACTTTTCTCGCGTGCAAGAATAAATCGTATGCCGCTAACGATCTGCGCGAACATAACTGACGTACTCCGATCTTTGTCGAGACCAAGGACCTATCTGAAGCGACGGTGGCGATCAATCTTTTCCCGATGAACCAGCGCTGATAACCGCGCCGGTCTTCCAATGCCTGAGAAACGTCACTTCCAATGCCTGTTATCACAGAAACGATTGCCGACGCAGGGAAACGGCGTCGTGGAAAACGCTTCCCCAACGTGTCGGACAATATTGGAAATCCGTCTTTGAGAATCGGCACTTTCGTTATGCATCGACGAAAAATCGCTCACCGCTAAGGACGCGAGATATTCTTGAACGAGATACGTTCGGGACGATACACGACGATTATTATGGAGACCTACATAGATATCGTGTGTCGGCGAAACCACTGATACCGCACACGAGCGAGACTTCGCCGGAAAGGGAGAATCTTGCACACACGAAATCGAGTGCCGCGGAGGACTCACCGGGAACCGCGTTGTCCCGCGAGGAAGAGGCACCGGCGGCGTGTCGACGTTCGAAGGAGTTTTCGAGCGACACCTGTGCCGACTCGAGGTCGGATCGGGTAGGAAAAGCGAGCCGGTGGCGCGTGGGGAAAAAGCGATGTGCACACGATGCCGATGAACAAGGAGAGAGAAAGAGCGGGGATGGGAGGGGACGAAGAAAGAAAGAGAAGGAAGGAAAGGGAGAGAGGGAGAACACGGAGCCACCACGAAAATCGTGTGGTGGCGTGCCAGCCGAT